CAAAAAAAGAGAAAAGAACAAAAAACGAGAAAGAAATAGAAAAGAAAGAAAAACAGAAGAAAAGAAGCAAAGCTTACCCTCCCTCGTTCCACAGGCTACAGTGCTCGATCATGCGCCGCGCGTGAGCGCTGGGAGCTCCTATCACAGAGGGCTCAAGGAATTTTTCGCTTCGCTGCAGAATCATGGACACAGACCCCCTACCTAGGATTCCTACTCGAGTATTCGGGTATCTGGGTGGGCGGAACCCAGCCAGAGCTCGCCCCTGGCTGGCACCCCTCACCTGTCTGCTATAGCCGCAGCCACTCCCAGCTACTCGGTGTGAACCCTCACTGTCGTCGTATGCGAGGTTCTTGTTTTCTTATCACCCGCGCCAGTCCCGTGCCCAGTGTTGTGCGAGGGAGTTTTGTTGTAAGATTCTTATCACCCTATCTGTGAACAGAGTTCGTACACCGCGGACAGCGGAGTGGCTGGGGCCATCCAGACAGCCTGAGACAGACCCCTCACAGCTGTGCGGTCGCACACCCCCGCCACAGCTCGCACCCCTCACAGCTCCGCCGTCGCTGTCGGCTCTCCGCCACACCTTCCCATCGCATGTCGCGCCTCTCCTCGGCCGCGGTGCTGATCGTCCTGCTCGCCGTGGCGCTCCTCGAGAGCGATCTTCTCAGCTGGCTCCGTGTCAGCCTCCTCGACGCGCTGCTCCTGCCGGCTCCGCCCACTCTGTCGCGCTTCGACCGTGAATGCTCACGCCTCGCCGGCCCTGTCGGAGCCGAGGACGGCGTCCTTCTCGATGGCGATCCTCCCGTCGTCCTCATGGGCGAGCTGGACGCCCTTTCTCACGAGTTCACCACCGCCGACGTGCACGGCGCCTCGGCGTCCACGATTCCGCCGGGCCGCATCTGGGCGCTCGAGATGACTGCACAGCCGCGACTCACGCCGCTCGAGGTGCCTCTGCCTGCCGGTGCGACGACAATGCACCTGCACGGACTTGGCTTGCACGGCGACGTGCTTTTTGCAGTCAACCACGCCTTTGGCAGCGGAGGCGAGAGGATCGAGCGCTGGAGGGTGAGCCGTCCGACTGCCAAGGACGGGGCCGATGCCGGCACGGCGGGTCATCCGGTGGCGCTTTCAGCCTTGCCCCCGGTCACCGCCGCGCTCTTCCGGGACGTGCCCGGCGAGCCCGGCGAGCGGGCAACATTGACGTCAAAGCTCAACGCCGCCATCAACGACATTGCTCCTGTGAGCCGACCCGCAGCGTGGGTACCCAAGATCCATCTCGGAGCCTGCTCGGAGCCTTCGCGGAACCCCCTCCCCCTCAGGTCAGCCCGACAGAGTGGTACATGACGCAATTCGTGGACGAGCCGGTCCGTCTCTACACAGTCAGTCACGGTCTCTAGCTTGTCGCCTCTATCAGCCTCCTCCCTTCGCGTGCAGCCGCCTCCCTGCGCACGCGAGGGTGGGTACCAACCCCGTGCCTCTGATCCAGGCGTCGCACGAGGGTGCGGCGGCGGGCCTTCTCCCCGACCGCGTGCCGCCGCCGCCCGACGGACCGCTCGCCGCAGCGGCGCGCACCCTCAGTGAATCTCGGCTATACCTCGGCTGTACCTCGGCTCGGCATCTCAAGTCCGCCTCTCGGCCGCATTTCGCCACCTCCTCTCGGCACCATCGGCACCATCTCGCCAACCTGGCGCCACTCGCGTCCTCTCGCCTGCATCTCGTCCCAGGCGCGCGCCCTTTCTCGCTATCTCGGAGCGGAGATCGCCGCCAAGCTGCTGCTGCCTCGGCTTCGGCGCTCGCGCCTCTGGCACTGCTACTGCGACGGAGGGCTCGAGCCGCACCGGGACGGGCCAGCGACTTGCCGAGAGACGGCGTGCACTGCCGTTGGCCGCAGAGGTGTCGTGTGGAATGGCGTCGCGTACCGGCCGGTGAGGCCGCGGTCTCCCGCGCGCGGCGGGCTGGGCGGCAGGCTCTACGTGAGCGACATCTTTCGGCGGGTGGTGGTCGAGTATGACGTCCTCGGCTCGGGCGCGTCCGCGCGGCTGGAGGAGAGGCGTTCGCTCCTCGCACCACACCTCATCGACAACTTGCACCTCGAGCCCGCGGGTGGCGCTCTCTGGGCCGGCGCGGTGGGCTACTCGAGCGCCCACTTCTGGAGGCCTCTCGCCGCGCTGCTCGCCAACGCCTCGGCGGCGCACGCGGCGGCGCGTGCCGCTAGCCGGCCAAGCCCGAGGCCGCACACGCTACTGCGGCCCGAGGAGGGAGGGCCGCCAACGCCTCCGATGCCGTCCGGCGCGCTCCGGTTCGATCTGGCGACGGACGAGGCCAAGGTGGTCGGGATGCAGGGGCGTCATCTAGCCGGGGTCTCATTCAGCATTCCGGTGGGAGATCGGCTGGTGATGGGGAGCCCGTTCGACGACGGCGTCCTGGTTTGCCCGCGAGTGGAGCCTTGACTGCCATGACACGGCGTCTGGTTTGCAATGTGTCGTGTGTCTGAAAACCCATATCGCATATTTGATGTTCGAAACTTCTCCGCGAGCGACCGGTCCGACCTCACGTAAATGCTACATATAAAAAGCCGTGTGAGCCGAGAGGCGAGAGCCGGCAGTAGCCGCGTACCACACCGCACTCACTGTCTCCTCACCTAGCTCCCCTCACGCCGTGCGCCCACATTTTCTGATTTACGTATTACGATCAGAGCCGTAAGTATCTCGTGTACGAAGGTCGTACGACGTGTGTATGTTTCGCTGACTACTTGCTCTCTACTTTCACGATGCGACAACATGCGTGGACCGGCACCGCACCGACCGGACCGGACCGGACCCGGGTCCGAGGCCAGCCACTCGCCGTGCTCCCAAGCTGGCCTCTCAGCCCAGCTGGGAGCTGGCCTCTTTACCTAAACGCACAAGCCCGCCTCTTCACACCTGCTTCCGCTTGCCGTTTCACCGAGGGCGCGCAATGGCGCTGCAGCTCTCGCAGGTCGATGTCCGCGGCCTCGAGGCCTCTGCGTACGTCAGAGTGAGGCGCGGCGCGGCTGAGCTGGCACGCGCTCCGCTTTCGCGAGAAAGCGAGCGGCTCCACGCGCCGTCCCTCTCTGTCCCTCTCGCCGGTCCTCAGCCGGCAGCCGCAGCGGTGTTGGAGGCAAAAATGCAAGCAATGCCACAGTGGCACACATCGCGCGTAGCACGCACGGTACGCATCGCTCTCTAGGTGTGGTCGTGTGGCGGGCTGACGGCTGACACTCTGATTGGATCCGTGAGCCTAGACTTACCAGCGGCAGGGGAATCGCCGCAGGGGGGCCGCATTGAAGAGCCGCTCAGATGCGCCTCCGACGTGGCAATC